GAAGCATCCAGAAGATAAAATGTGTGTGTGTGTGTGTGTGTGTGTGTGTGTGCGCGTGTGTGCGTGAGTGTGCGCGCGCGTGCATGAGAGAGACGAAAAAGATAATTTTAAATGAAAATCCAGGAGCTGTATCTAAAACATAGGAAATGTATATATGGTATCTTAAATATCTAACAGTGATAAATACAGGTAAAACCTATTAATAGTCTTAGTCTTGTTTTTCATGAACAATTTAAACTAATTATTTGGTTAAGATATGCCATTATAAGAGCCCCTTTTAAATTATTTTGTTAAAAAGTATTTACTTCTCACTAGGATTTGAAGCATCCAGAAGATAAAATGTGTGTGTGTGTGTGTGTGTGTGTGTGTGTGCGCGTGTGTGCGTGAGTGTGCGCGCGCGTGCATGAGAGAGACGGCGTGCATATACGACAAGAATTTGCCCCTGTGATTGTAGAGTCTGGACTGGCCCACGTCTGCAGCCAGTCCTGAAGGACTGATAGTCAGGAGAGCCAGAGGGGTGAGTTTCTGTCTTCCAACAGGCAGCTCAAAATCCAGGAAGAGTTGATGTTTCAGTTTGAGTCTGAAGGTAAGAACAAAGTCCCAGGTCAACATGGTCAGGCTGGAGGATTTCTCTCATGAGGAGGCTGGGCTTTATGTTCTGTTTAGACGTTCAGCTGACTGAATGAGGCTCTCATGTTAGGGTTGGCCATCTGCTTGACAGCCTGCTGATTTAGATATTAATCTTACTCAAAGCTACCTTCAAGGACATAGATAGAATAATAATGTTTGAATGAATGTCTGACCATTCCGTAGTTCAGTCATGCTGCATAAAATTAATCATCATACGATGTAAAAATTTTCCTTCCCTCCCTCCCTCCCTCTCTCTCTCTCTCTCTCTCTCTCTCTCTCTCTCTCTCTCTCTCTGGTCTCGTCTCCTTCCCTCCTGCTTTTGCTTTCCTGCTTTCTTGCTTTGTTGAATTTCTGGGAATTCAGCCAGGGGCTTTGTTCACAATAGGGTAAACACTGTCCTGTCTCACAGCTTTTCTGTAAACCTTAAACTTTTTTTTTTTTTTTGTATCAGGGTCTCCCTGTAGCCCCAACTGACCTGGAACTCACTATGTAGACCAGGCTGGCCTTGACCTCACAGAGATCCGCCTGCCTCTGCCTCCTGAGTGCTGGGATTAAAGGCAAGCACCACCGCGCCCGGCTTAAACTTTCAAAAAAAATTTTTTTATTGAGCTTTTGTAATTTCATACAACAGATCTTAATCAAATTTAGACACCCTCCCCATCCATGCCCCATCCCTCCACCGGACTTCATGTATTTTGCCATACAGGTTAAGTCTTATCCAGTCAAGCATTTGTACCCAAATGTCCTTCAATGTAAATTCGTTCACCGAAGTCTAGTCAGCCCATTTAGATTGTATGTAAGGTGTATTCTCCCTCATTCAGCATCAATCAGTCTCCAACAGTTCTCATTCTAGGGCTGTCCTACAACCCATTTCTCTCATCCCCTCTGGGCCCTTGATTAATTGAGTTGACATGAGTCCTGTGCTTGATTCCACCGTCACCACAAGTTCACATCTGTAAGCTTCCAGTGGCCTGAAAGTCTGTTTCCTTGTGTTCATGAACCAGCCCTGGCTCTTACAACGTCCCCCTTCCAAAAATGGTTCCTGAGCTGTGGGTGGGTGATGTTCAATATGAGTCCCATCCAAGGATACACACTCTGCAATCTCTTCTTCTTTAAAAACTTGCCAGTTGTTGTCTTCTGTGTGCATTGCACTCTGTTGTATAAGGAAACTGGTGAGAGTTGAGGGATGCGTGCGTGTGTGTGTGCACATACATACGTGTGTGTGTATGAGAGAGAGAGAGAGAGAGAGAGAGAGAGAGAGAGAGTTTTCTCTCTACCCCTGTTCTGCTATGTTCCTGAGCCTTAGGAGTAGAGGTTCAAGTGTAGATGTGTCACCCAGTACTTGGCATATATCTCTGATCAGTTGTAGAATTCTGCAGTAGTTTCTATCTGTTGTGAAAAGAAGCTTCTTTGGTGAATGGTGTACAGTATGCTTGTCAGTAAATATAAGGATCCATACTTACCATATGGTAAGAAATTTCTTTTGTTTAGAGATATGAATGAGATAGGTTTTTCTACAGGATCTACATCCTCTCCTGCCATGTGTATTTGGCTGGGTTTACAGTACCACCCATGAATTCACTTCCACTGAGAAGGCTTTAAGTCCAATTAGATAACTGTTGATTGCCGATGGGTCTATGGTTATTAGGGTTTAGGGCTGGGTTGGACCACTGTTTGTTTTTCTCCCTTGGCAGTTTGCATGTCGTCATCTAGCATTATGATAGCTAAACTCTGGTTTGAAGTCCTCCAGGTTGGCTCCTGCTCCATTGCTCAAGTCCTGTAGCCGAAGCGTGTCCTATCTTCATTAGTAGTTCTTATCTACTAGTTTTGGGAGACAATCAAGAGGTTTAGCAACAGGTTGTGTTATTTTGGGAGTCTCCTGGACCACTCTCACCAACCATTCAAAAGGAGGTCTCTTCTATCTGGCACTGTGTTCCTTGCCAAGCAATTCCCAGGTGTATATATACACTAATGTTTAGACACTGTACAGGCATTTCTTTTATGGTTTCTGGGCATCACATTTCTCTCTGGGTTTCCTATCCCCCAAGATTCATTCATCTCTACTCTTTTTCCTCCCATCTAGCCTCCCTCCTCCCTCCCCCATCCCAGTACTCCCATTATCCCCATCCTCCACCCAATAACACCAGCCTCTCACCATCCTCCCTCTCCTTACTTCCCCCTCACCATGCTGTGGCCCTTTGCTGCTGCGGCTGCTGCTGCTGGAATGACTTGAGTGACTTGAAGGCCTTCATGAGCTTTTCCAGCGTGGCCATGATGCCCGCCCCCCCAACGTGGGGCTGACCCCAAGGGTCTGGAGTGCACTGGCGCACAGTGAAGCTCATCAGCCAAGAAATGAGTGAGGATCTGTGTGGTGGGAAGGAGCGGAACCCAGGTTTCTGGTCATCTTGGACCTGTCCCCTCTATCCTGAGGATTATATCTGAAAGATTTTAAGCAGAGGAGCAAAATTTTAGTCAGTCAAATGAAGTAGCTTTGTTCCAGGGGATCCAACGCCCTCTTCTGACCTCCACAGGCATTGCAGGACATGAGTGTACTTATATGTATGCAGAAAAAACACTGTTTGAGAGCTTGAGAACTTAAGGCAAGAAAGAGAGCTAGAGTTGTAGTCCCTCCTGTGAGCTGGAGTCATGGTCTCTTCCCATGAGCTGGAGCTGTGGTCCTCTCCTATAAGCTGGAACTGTGGTTCTTCTTGTGAAGCTAGAGCTCTGGTTCTTCCTATGAGCTGGAGCTGTGGTTCCCCTCCTGTGAGCTGGAGTCGTGGTTCCCTCCCTGTGAGGAGGAGTTGTGGTCCCCTCCGGTGAGCTGGAGTCCTGGTCCTCTCCTGTGAGCTGGAGCTCTGGTTCTTCCTATGAGCTTGAGCTGTGGTTCCCTTCATGTGAGCTGGAGTTGTGGTTCTCTTCCTGTGAACTGGAGCTATGGTCCCCTCCTGTGAGCTGGAGCTGGGGCCCTCTCCTGTGAGCTAGAGCTGTGGTCACCTCCTGTGATCTGGAGCTGTGGACCCTTCCTAGGAGCTGGAGCTGTGGTCCCCTCCTGTAAGCTGGAGATGTGGACCCTTCCTATGAGCTGGAGCTGTGGTCCTCTCCTGTAAATTGGAGTCATGGGCCTCTCCTGTGAACTGGAGCTTTGGTTCTTCCTATGAGCTGGAGCTGAGGTTCCCCTTCTGTAAGCTGGAGCTGTGGTCCCTGCCTGTGAGCTGGAACTGTGGTCCCCTCCTGTGAGCTGGAGCTGTGGTATCCTCCTGTGAGCTGGAGTTGTGGTCCTCTCCTGTGAGCTGGAGCTGTGGTTCTTCCTGAGCTGGAGCTGTAGTTCCCCTCCTGTGAGCTGGTCATGGTCCTCTCCCGTAAGCAGAAGCTGTGGTACCCCTCCTGTGAGCTGGAGCTGTTGTCTCTCCTATGGGTTGGAGTCTTAGTCCTCTCCTGTGATCTGGAGCTGTGGTCCCCTCCTGTGAGATGTAACTGTGATCCCCTCCTGTGAGATGTAACTGTGGTACCCTCATGATAATATGGACTCCCAGTCCCAGGAGGGATGATCGGAATGGACTATGCTGGATCAAATGCCCACCCACTGTTGAACATTGATGCATCTTTCAACTCTCACTGGATAAGTTTCCTTATGCAGCAGATGGTGATTGACACAAAAACTTACGCTCTTTAATGTGCAGGGAGGAGGGGCTGCATGCAGAGCACTTATCTCTGAGTGGGCCACCTCTGTCAGGTTTCTGGAGCTCAGGGCTCAGGAATCATTGCAGAGGAGGAGGTGGAAAGATTGTAAGAGCCAGAGGAGGTAGATGACCATGGGGGTGGGTAGGGTTCTCCAGATACCTGGTCAGTTACTCATATGAATTCACACAATGGTGACAGCATGCACAAGTCCTGTGCAAGCTCCAGTGGATGGACACACACTGGAGAACATTTGGGGATTCAAGTTAGACTCTACAGGCTTTATTATACAGAGGGAGTACATTGAATTGAGTGGGGGGCAATGTGGGGAGGTGTGGATGGGAGAGGGGATGTAAATGTCATCAAATTATATTGTATGGAAATCACAAAAATTTAATAAAATGCTAAAAAAAGAAATAAGGAATATTTCACTCCTGTAGTCAATGGCAAGTCTGTGATACATTAAAGAGCAGAAAAGCTACTCTTTTCTCATGGCTCAGTTTCTCCCCCAACTCTATCACTCAGGAGTGTGCAGGGCCACAGAGCCAGCAGCGGGAGAGAGGGAAGAGGGAGAGAAGAAAGACAGGAGGAGCAGACTGATTTTAAGAAATTGGCTCCCTTGATTATGGGGCTTGGGGAGCCCATAGCCTGCCTGGGAAGCTGGCAAGCACAGACCCAGGGCAGGGCTGACCTTGTACCTGCACCCAAAGTTGTTGAGAAGCAGAATTCTCGTTTGCTCAAGGTAGGTCAGACTTCATTTTATTCAGGCCTTCAACTGACCACAAGGCCCATTCAAATTATGGAGGTTCATCATACCAAGACCCTAGCCTCTGGTGCCAATTTCTGTTTACCAACTTACTTGTTATTCTCACCTAAAAACACTCTTGCAGAAACATCTAGAATAATGTTTGACTAAATATCTAGGCACCGTAGTCCAGTCAAATTGACATATAAAGTTAACCATTACATCAACAAAGCAGTTGGAAGTTGTGAAACTCTGTGGCCAGGTCCATAGGACACATCCCTGTGAAGAGAGCTTGAGTCAGGCTCCCCTCCATGGAGAGGAACCAGAGCATGAATAAGTCAGAAATGCTCTGCCAAAAATGGCATTGATGGATGAGCGAAGGGCTGAAAATAAATTCACCAAAGATGGAAGAAAGCAGAGGCAGTTTGTTAGCTACACTTCGGAACAGCAAGAAGACAGCAGAGAGAAATTATGCAGACATATTCTAAGAGCTGCTTTAGAAAATTACTTTTTAATGTTTGGTTTTAACATTT